CCAAGTGAGTCCCAGGAAAGGCGCAAAGCTACGCAGAGAAACCCTGTCTCGAAAAACCAAAAAAAAAAAAAAAAAAAAAAAAAAAAAAAAAAAAAAAAAACAGAAACAAAACAAAAAGGAACCTGGGTGCTGATGGAAGACTAAATGAGAAGTCCTTTGCTTATGGGAGGAAAGCCTGTCTGGCCTGGGGTCAGGAGAAAAAGAGCAGACTGGAACATCTCAGAATTGCCAGGATTGCATCAGACACCAGGCATGGGGCCCAGCACTCAGGCTTATCAGGAACCCCATCATCTAACATAAGGGTACCAACCCAGTGGGAATATGAAGAGCCCAAAAGGTCGATAGTGGTGCACACCTTTAATCCCAGCACTTAGGAGACAGAGGCAGGCAGATCTCTGTGAGTTCGAGGCCAGCCTGGTCTACAGAATGAGCTCCAGGACAGCCAGGGCTACACAGAGAACCCTGTCTTGAAAAACCAAAAATAAATAGAAAGAAAAATTAAAAAGACCCAGATTTAAAAAAAGGGGCGGGGAGCTGGTGTGATGGCTGGGTGGTTAAGATCACTTGCTGCTCTTCCAGAGGACCCAAGTTCAGCTCCCAGTACCGGTAACAGACTACTTACAACCACCTGGAATTCAGCTCTAAAGGATCTGACAGTTTCTTTTAGCCTCCATGGGCACTGCACTCACATGCTCAACCCACACACAGACACACATGCATTCACATAAATAATATTCCCCAAACCCCTAGAGGTTAAAGGTCATTGACATCCCCTTTCCCACCTGAAGTAAGACTACAACCTAGTGAAGGGGCAGAGGAGGCCTCTGATCTTCCTGGCCTCAGAGCAGATGGGGACAGGGCCATGTGACATGGACCAGCTACTGTTGGGAGAGGGACACAGAAAACGGCTGGGTCTGCTCAGGCTGCTTTAGGGCTTCGATGAGTCCCACGTGTACTGCCTGAGCCCTGGAAGGATGTCCGGAGCCCCTGTGGGCCTGCCAGGTGGGACACTTGTTTGTGCTAACCACTGAGTTAAGGTGAAGCTCAGGTCTGGCCCAGGGGTTCCCCATCAAGGGTTAGCCATCTTCCATCACTGAGAACCAACTTACTCTTAGTGGAGACCAATGCAGGGGGTCAGGGAGGCTGGAGGGACTCCAGGATGGGAGATGGAGGATGCTTTGACCAACACCACACAGACCATCGGTCTTCGCAGAGCAGTGCAATCTCTGGGACTTGAAGACAGAAACATCACTTGGTGGAAAGTCCTCTCCCCGGCCTTGCTTAGTCATGCCCAGCTCCAGGAATACGCCAAGCAGAGGAAATGTCATCTGGGATTTGGGCACAGATTGCAGGGGTGGAGAAACCACTTCCCGGGCTTCCTTGAGTCTAGCCTCTCCCCAGGCCTCACACATTCATTCAACAAGTATTTCCTGCCATTCCCCTGTACTGACTCCATGCTGGTATCTCCTGCTTGTGAAACTTGGGAAACCTTCCAAGCAGTGACTGAGACACAGCACAAACCGAACTGCCACGGGTTTGTCAGGTTCCCACAGCAGCAGGGCTGCAAGTTGTCCCCGTGTTGGCATCAAATCCAGCCCCTCGGGTGCGTCAGGCTTCCCAGGTGGCGCTCAGTCTCCACTCCTTCCCTGATGTGGCCTTTGAGGGCTGTAGACAGAACCCGACTGTAACTGCTGTTCATGAGGTCACAGAATTGGGTGGGAGGAGCGGTATTGGACAGGAACAAGCTCGGTGTGAGACCTTCCTTAGAAAGGAGAGGGGTAGCCGGGTGGTGGTGGCCCACACCTTTAGTCCCCAGCACTCAGGAGGCAGAGCCAGGCGGATCTCTGTGAGTTTGAGGCCAGCCTGGTTTACAGAGTAAGATCCAGGACAGGCACCAAAACAACACAGAGAAACCCTGACTGGAAAAACCAGGAGGGCAGGAGGCGAGGAGAAGGCACAAATAGTGAAGAGTGGCTGTCTGCTCACTCTCCACACCACACCGGCGATGCCAGCTTGAACCTCGCACCTCCTAGTCAGTGCTCCCAAAACAACCGGTAACCATAGTCTGTCCCCAGGGTGGGTAGATGCACGTTAGTATGTCTGAGCAAGACTTCTGGACATGATTCAGGTGCTGGCTTGGGAGGGTAGGGAGCCCTGTTCGTAGCTCTAGGTTACTTCCTGCTTCTCCGAGGTATGTGCCTTCTGCCTGTTTTCTCTGCTTGTTTTCAGGCTGTGTTAGCAGCATTTTCAGGGCATGTCTATCATATCTATTAGCACCTGAGTGGGTCCTGTGACTGCCCCCCCATTCGGTTATGTGTATAACAGGAATTGGGTCCACAAAGAAACATACAAAGAATGTATTACCTGTTTCCTCCAATCCAACATAGCATTGAAGGGACCCTGTTCCCTCCCGCGAGAGAAACCCTCCAGGGTAGCAAATTTGCTCTTCTTCCCTCTGGTGGTCCACGGCCCAGACGCGTGATATCTACTCTGTCTGGGCCCCTCCCACTCCGCCAGGCAGGGTTAGGGAAGTGAGGTCAGTTACTAGCTTCGAGGCCTCTTGGCCTATGGGAATGCTGAAGGAGAGGAGGTCATTTCCTGCTACCAGTGTGCACAAGATTATTTGTGACCTGGGAACCCAGCGCCCTGGAGCCCACAGAGTTCATCATCCAGGCACATCTTACACGTCTTCTGAGTACTGGGAGTTTAGCAGGGTATGGGCTCCCCTTTAAGTGCTCATGGACGTGGGACTAGACTGGATTGGCAACTGCCTGGAGGCTCCTCCCGTAGCCAGGGCCATTTCCTGTAAGGCCAGCTGTGGACTTGTGACAGAGGCTCCAGGGGCTGTAGTTTGGGAACATACACGGCCAAACATTTCAGACACCGAGACGGGAAGTGCTCTGTTTGCTGTTCCAGACTCTAGCTCGCTAGAGGAGAACAAGATGCCTTGAGCTCGCTGTAATTCTGCTGTCTGATGCTCTGTACCGCTTTATCATGTGAGAGCAATAAAAAGATCTATGCCACTAATAAACTCACTGGCCTGGGTCATCTGCCTTTGCAGCCCTCCTGACCACAGCTTTGTTGTTTTTCAGATCAGGGTTTCTCTGTGTAGCCTTGGCTGTCCTGGAACTCACTATGTAGACCAGGCTGGCCTTGAACTTGCAGAGATCTGCCTGCCTCTGCCTCCCAAGTACTGGAATTAAAGGCATATACCACCACCACCAGGCACAAAAGGCATTGGGTCTCCTGGGTTTGAAGTTACAGGTGGTTGCAAGCAGCCATGTGGGTGCTGGGAATCAAACCCAAGTCCTCTGCAAGAACAGCCAGTGCTCTTAACTATTAAGCCATCTCTCCAGCCTCCTGAGCCCGGCTTTTAACTGTCTGTCTTTTCTCATCCCCATCCTCCCCCTCAGAGTCCCAGCATGAACCAGGAAGAGATGTTGGTCCTGTTCACACAGACATCCCTGCTGCGACTAGTCTCAGGCCATCATCCCTCTGTCCCTTCTATGACGTTGTTTCCTTCTCCCTTACCTCTGAAACTACTGAAAGTGTCTGAAGGCCGCTTCCCTTTGGAATGCACCCTCAGTGAGCCTCAGATGGGTCAGCAGGGGCTCCCTGGGGGTTAAGGGCCCTGCCAGCTGTGGGGTTCTGAGAGTCACTGGGAGCAGAGTGAGGGTCAGGGTGAGGAGGCACACAGGAGAAACCAATGCAAGAAGCAGGGCTAAGAATTTATTGTAGCAAATGTGGCCCGTGGCCCAGAGGTGCGTCCACCCCCACGCTTGTTCCCGTGGGGTCTCGCCACGGTCACCCTGGGGCTGGTCACACCTGCTTACAGTCATGCTTTAGAAGCTGAGTAGTGTTCTTCCAGGGGACTTCAAGGAGCTCAAAGTCGCAACGCAGCCTCTGAGGAGGGAAGGCAGTGGATAAGGAGGGTAAGCTTGGTCTTCCTCCTCCCAGCCTCCTGCCTGCCACATCTCTCTGGAGCCAGAGACAGACCATTGGTGATACCATAACATGAAGTCGGATGGCAGGAGTTGATCCCAGATCTATCAGGCAACTCCCACCCCAAGAAAAAAAAAAAAACACACTCTCCTCCCTGCACCCCACCCTGGCCTGAGTCACACAAAGACCAGACAGGACAGGTCCGGCCAGGCTTTTGCCTGGCCAGATAGACTAGTCAGGATGGACAAGCTAAGGGCCTTAGACTCTGCAGAGGGCTGGGCTGGAGTCAATGCTGTTACCTCCTGCTGCACCCCTGTGGCCAGGGGGCAAGTGGTGAGGTCCATGTGGTCTCCAGAGACTCTGGTCTTTCTGCACTCTGTGCTCTCTAAGTCCATAGTCAGGTAGAACTTGACGCCAGTCACCAGCTGGGAACAAGACAGGGCAGGTCAGAGATGCCCGGGAGCCCAGCATGCGTGCCTACTCTTCCAAGCCTTCGACTCCGCCTGGCAAACGCAACACTCTGGCCTAATTCAGACCTGAGTGGAGGTGGGGGCTTCTAGGTGAGACCTAGGGGTGGAGCCTAGGCCCTGCAGGAGACTGAAGAGCCCTGTAGTACACCTGTCCGCAGCTAGGGCAGATGTGGAGAAGGACACGCGATACCTACTCTGTCTGGGCCCCTCCCTCTCCATCTGGCAGGGTTAGGGAAGTGAGGTTAGTTATACCAAAAGTGGTTGAATCCTGCAAAAAATTTTTTGATCGTTAGATAACGTTGGTTGCCATAGGTTTTGCCAGTCATCTGTATTTAAGTATTTCATAAAATGGGCTTGACGTCATGATTGACTTAGCGCCCTCTTGTGTTTGGTAGCAGGCCAGCGGCTCTCTGGCCTGTCCCGTTCCCTGTCCTTGTCCCTCTCCACAGCCACTGCGTCCCACAACCACCACACCTGATAGGATGCACCGACGATTTTGGTGTCTCGGAAGTAGTAGAGGCTGTTGCTGCCCATATTGTAGCTGCTCACAGCTGCCTGCGCAGCCTTCTGCGCCCGCGGGTCGTTGGGAGACAGGTTCTGGCGTTCTCCGGTCATGCGGCTCCGGCTCCGCAGCTCTGCGCGGGCGTCCGGGGACAGAGTCAGGAGGCAGAATGCGAGCAGGGCCAGGCCCATGGCCAGCGGGAAGTGAGGACGCTCCATAGTCGCAGAGGTCAGTGCCACAGCTCCATCCCGCACGGCTTTTACGGGCTCCGGGCGCCCCGCCCGGCTCCGCCCACCGCCTGCCTGTTTCCTTAGCAGGCCTGGACCCGCTGCAGGTGCCTGGGGGCGGCTGGCTGTACCTCCCCCACCCAGGAGGACCAGGGCCCGCACACATGTCCCAGAACCTCTACGTATAGGGATGCTGGCCTATCATCCCTATCATCCAGGAGGGAGAGGACGGCGACAGTTCACCAGCACCAAAGGCCACCACAGGGACAGGACAGTTCCTTCCATGAACCTGCAGTGTGAATTGCCAAAGCAGCTATGGTGGAGCTCTTACTATGGCTATCATTTTCTTGTCCTGGGGCCTTCATTTCTTCTGGAAAATAAACGTTGTAAGGATCTAATGAACTGACACAGGCACAGAGCCTAGGAAGAGGCTGGGTCCTATGCAAACAGTAGGGAGGGAGGGAGGGGGAGTCCTTGCTACTGAAGCCACACTGCTTAATCCTCGCGGCCATGGTGAAGTGGGGGTGACGGGCGCTTGCATTTGCAGATGTGGGAACAACACAGAACGGAGAACTAATTTGCTCAAAGACATGAGCTGGTCCCTAGTAAGTGAGGATACTGAACAGCCTAAGTCATGTGTGTCTGAGTGTGTGTGTGTGTGTGTGTGTGTGTGTGTGTGTGTGTGTTATAAAACAAGATCTTATGTATCCTAGGCTGACCTTGAACTTGTGTACTTCAGGATGACCTTGAACTTCTGATTTCTCCGGCCCCTACCTTCACATGCTGGGATTAGCGTCGTATTTTATGTGGCCCTGAGAACCAAACCCAGGGCTTCGTGCATGTTAGACAAGCACTCTACCAACTGACATCTCAGCGCCATTTAGTTTTGTTGGGCTTGAACCTGGGGTCTTGTGTATGCCGGGCACACACTTTACCACTTAGCTATATCTTTAGCCCTCTTTTTACTCATTTTTAGACAGGGCCTTGTTCAATCTCGTAGGGATTACAAGCCCATGCCACCAGGCCTAGCTCAAATCTGTGGTTTTTTTGTTGTTTTTTGTTTTTTAATTCAGAGCTCAGGGCCTTGTGCTTGCTAGGCAAGCTCTACCAACTGAGCTAAATACACAACCCCAAAAATCTGTGTTCTTAACCCAGGATAAGTTTGAAAGGTAAGAACTGCCCCCAAAGAGGGGGGTGTCATACCAGCTGCCACCTTACTGACTGGGTGGCTTGGATAAGTCATTTGGGACTTCGGTGTCCTATGGGTACTGGCACATTAGGAACCCCTGTGGTGTTTTGGAAGAACCCGGTGATTACATGGGGACTTGGCAGTGGTCCCTTCCCCAAGGGACTTTTCATTTTGTTGTTTTTAACAGTTTTGGTGGGGGGAAGGGATGCTCATGCCTCCGCATGAGAGCAGGGTAGGCACATGCCATAGCATGCACACGTAGAAGGTCAAAGGTCAGCTTTCCAGAGCCAGTCTCTCCTCCTACAGTATGAGTTCCGAAGTTTGAGCCCAGGGCTTCAGCCTTGGCAGCAAACATCTTTACCCACTGAGCCATCTTCCTGGCCCTCCTTGGGGGTCTTAAAGGGGACTTGGAGGGAGCAGCTGCCTTCGGCACCTTGCAGACAGGTATTTGACAAGTGTAGCTCTGCTATGGTGACTTTGACAGGTAAGTAGCCAGTGCACCCCTCCCCCAATTCTAGACCTTTTAGCATGCCAGGGTCATGAGGCAGTGATCTCTCAGCCAGTGTGACCACCACCCCATTCAGCTCCAAGCTTGCTCCACCCGGCAGCCCAGCTGTGAAAGGTAAACTGAGTGACAGGCAGGCTGTCTCCTGCCTGTGATCCCAGCACTGGGCAGCAGAAACAGGCAGGTCTCTGTGAGTTCCAGGCCAACCTGGTCTGCACAGTGAGTTCCAGGCCAGGGCTACATAGTAAACTTGGGAGGTTCTGTTAAAAAACAAACTAAAAAGAAAAGAAAAAACAAAAACCCGACACCACCTCCTTGTGATTCCAATGAAAGGAGACCTCAGGTGTGATGCAGCCCCAGGTGTGATGGAAACCTCAGGTGTGATGCAGACCCAGGTGTGTAGGGTCTGGAGACACCAGCTTGGAAGAGAACTACCCAAGCTCTAAGTTTTTTGTTTTGTTGTTTTTGTTTTGTTTTTTGGGTTTTTTGTTTTTTGGGGTTTTTTTTGTTTGTTTGTTTGTTTTTTTGTTGTTGTTGTTGTTGTTTTTGATTTTTCAAGACAGGGTTTCTCTGTGTAGTTTTGGTGCCTGTCCTGGATCTTGCTCTGTAGACCAGGCTGGCCTCGAACTCACAGAGATCCACCTGGCTCTGCCTTCTGAGTGCTGGGATTAAAGGCATGAGCCACCACTGCCCAGTGATCTCTAAGTCTTAACTAAGCAGGGCCCCTGAGTTGGGGGACCCTGGTGAGGCAGGAGAGCAAGAAACACAGGATAGCTTCACTACTCACCTGGCATGGAATCTAGTCACAGCCACGTGCACCTCCTCCAGCTCCCTCAAAAAATTCCTCAGTTGGAGGGGCTGGGAAGATGGCTTTGTTGGTAGAGTGTCCACCACACAAGCTTGTGGATCTGAGTTCAGATCCCCAGCACCTACATAGAAGACAGGGAGATTCTTGGAGCTCATTGGCCAGCCAGACTAGCAGCACTGATGAGCTCCCGACTCAGTGAAAACTCCTGTCTCAAAAACTAAGGTGAAAGAAAACACTTACTGAGTTCTGGCCTTTGCACACACGCCACTGACCCTCTGCATCCTTACACTGCTGACACTTACCCTACCTCCCACTGCCCATGAAGCATTGAGTCTTTGACACCACAATCTAGCAATTTCCAAGGACTTCTCAACACACCACCGTCTTCTCACAAGGATGGTTGGGCTTGTTTACAAATGTTTACAAATGCACTATTCAGAGTTTATCTAAGGTCATTTGACTAAACTTGAGTCTTGGAGGGCCAGAAGGAGGGGGCATGGTAATCAATAATTCCAGGCCCTTGTCATGCACCTGGCCTCGTGCCAGGGCTTGGCATCTCTTTCTCACGGTGGCTCTGCAGAGCAGTGACTTCTATCTCTTCCTACTAAGAAATGAGACCAAAGGGGAAGGGTAGATGGTGGGACCTGGGGTAACACCCGCATGCTAGCAATGTCCCAGTGTATGAGCCCCAGGTTGTTCCACGGGGATCCACTGCATGGAGAAGGGCTCTTTACAAGTGTGATTAACACAGCAGAAGTATTTATTCAGTTTTCAATTATTCACTAGCATATTGAAGAAACTGCATACTTGATCAAACATAACAATTTATTTGTTTGTAATTGATAAGTTAAAATAAATGAATTCCTATAACTAAGTATGTCTAATTTGTAGGAATGCTGTTTGTATCTCTATAGTAGTATTTTGATACACAAATCCATATATTAATATTTCATATGGTGATGGTTGAAAATAAAAATGCTAAAACCAGAAAATCAAAACAAAACAAGTGTGCTGCCCCATCCTGTGGCCTCCTGCAAAGGTCTTAGGCCAAGCATGAGCTCATCCTCACTGGCTACAGGACATAGTCTCAGTTTTACTGTGGCCCAGAGACCCCCCCAACCTAAGTTATCTATAGTACTCTTCTCTGGCTAGTAGCCCAGTAGATCTTAATAAACCACAAAGAACGTTCTTCTGGCTGGGATCAGACCCTCCAGGGCCTTACTGATGTCCCCAGAATGCTCTTGCCCGAGTCTTCAAGTAGGTGGAGGACATTCCACCCCCAGGCTCTGCTGCTTCTCTCTGTCATACCACATCCTGGAAAGAAAACTTTATAACAAGGACACCTGTGGCCCAACAGTGACTAAGGGACACCTGTGATCCAGCAGTGACTCCATGAAGGAGTTCCTTAAATGCCAGGGCCTTCCCTTCTGCAGCTGGATGAGGTTTTCCCATCTGTGTGCTGCAGAATGGTGGAGACGAGGCTGGGGCAGTGGAGCAAATTGCTTCAGATCCCTGGAGGAAAGAGGGGTTTGTTGAACACAAGGTCTAGCTGTCACTTCATCCGAGACAGCAGTGACGCACAGAGAGCCCTGATCTTTGTATGGAGGGACACCTAGATCAGGATGGACAGCTGCCAGCTCCCACTGCATGCCTTCAGTACTACTAGGTTGCCACCTGGCATGGTAAGGAAGGTGCCTTGGGTTATCTTCAGCCAGGTCCTCCTGCTCCTTCCTTCCCAGAGGCAGAAGAAAAGAGCCCAAAGGCCCCGGGATGTGTGGGCTGGTTCATCATAAGCTCTACACCACATCTGAGTACTAAAGACTGGAGGGGCTAAGAGGTCAAGCTCTGGCTGGGCACAAGGATGAAGGAAAGGCTCACCCATGCCCTTGGCCAGTGGGTGGGTAGGCCCAGCCTGCTGGACACTGTCTATAGATACTAGACCTACCCACTCCTATCCTCCCTGGCCAGGTCTGCTTCCCCTGCCGGCACACCAGCCCTGGTCTCTTTGGTAGGCCAACTGAGTTGATCTGGATCTGTGGGAGGCCACTTCATTATGTTATACACTCTAAAGACCCCTTGTCCCCGGCTGCCCTAGGACTGATCCAGGAACTTACGTGGGTTGCAATATGGAGCCCTGATACAGGGTTCATGGCTTGCCAATCTATCTCAGGCACAGCCCATGGCCCAAGGGAGAGATGGAGCAGGTTTCAGATCCTTAAGAAACAAGCCTGTGGGAGAGCCAGGAAGACAAATGATAAGGAAATAATACAGACAGCTGAAAGGACCAAGCAGATGCCATAACAGGCTGCTCAGTCTTCTCTCAGAGATCAGGCCTCAATTTCAGTTTCCTGAGACTTAAGCAAGCAGTCTCTGGGAGGGCCATAAACAAAAGACATAGTCCTTGCACTAGCTCCCTTTCTGCACATACTCTGACTGCTCAAAGTACAGCCAGTTGTTTACTGTCTGGGACCCCTCACCAACTTAGAGCTATGTGCGTGAGTCAAGGACAGAGCCTGGACCACTGAGCCAGCCCCCACAGTCAGTACGTGCTAGGCCAGCCAGCCCCCATGGCAGCGCAAGGACAGAGCCTGGGACTTGTGCCAGACTGCCCCCAAAATGATAATTATAAACCCCAACCAGTAAATTCAAAGGTTACACACCCTCACCCAATTAAAAGAGAACAGAGACCTTCACAAATAAAAATAAACCAATCTGAGTTGCACCTGTGCCAAACCCCCAATGCTCCCCCTCCCCCCGCCCCGAAACTGCCCTGAAGGCCTTGTGGTTTTTGCCTTTAAAAAGCTTGCCTCAGCCAGGCGGTGGTGGCACACACCTTTAATCCCAGTACTCAGGAGGCAGAGGCAGGCGGATCTCTGTGAGTTCGAGGCCAGCCTGGGCTACAGAGTGAGTTCCAGGAAAGGCACAAAGCTACACAGAGAAACCCTGTCTTGAAAAGCCTCACAAAGAAAGAGCAACTCCTCCCTGCCTCGCTGCGCGGCCAGTGAGTGCTCGAGAAGAGTTCCCTGTCGCGACTTGTAATGGAAATAAACCTTGCTATTGCACTCTGGACATCTTCGGTCTCTGGTGGTCTCTTTGGGGTCACAATCTGGGCATAACACAGCCTGTTATACAGGGTCCCACCAGGGTCTAGGGACAGAATCAGGAGGACAGAGCCAGGTAACCAATATGAATGGAGCCAGGGAAGCAGCTCTATTGCTTCATGGAGGTCTCCATTGCTTGGCTCTGGCTACAGTCTGGCAGAGTTAGGACTGAAGTGTGGGCAGCTGTGGCTTAACCAAGCACCTGCCTAAGCATGCTGGGACTGTGTGACGGTATGCAGGTGAGGCTGAGCATGCCTGTGAGGCCGGAGAGAAAGACAGGGAGTTCTAGACATGTGAAGGCAAGGACTCCCTCACACCAGAGTCTGGCTGAAGTCTTTCACCAGCTGAGAATCAAGGATTCCAACACAACTAACATCTTGTTAGGGCCTTTCTCCCTTCCCAGCTGTAAACTTAGAATTTTCTAGGCATCTCAGCAGAAATCCCATTTATTTTATAGTGACATTCCCTTAAGAAGACCATACCCCTTCCTGAGAGACAGCTCAGAGGTTAAGAGAACTTACTTCTCTTCCAGGGGCCAGGGCTTGGCTCCTAGCACCCACATGACAACTCATAACTACCTGTAACTCCATTTCTAGAGAACACAGCACCCTCTTCTGGCCTCTTCTGGCACTGTACATATGTGGTACGCAGACATACATGCAGGCAA